GAAGACTTCGTGCCATGATGCAAGTTAATCTATGGACAGAGTGGGCAAAGATTACAAAGTAACAGTTGGTATATGGTGGAAAGGTTTTCAGTTACAATGTAGCCATCATCACGAGTTGCAAAAAGATAGATGCAAATGGTGCTGCTGTGTTGACGCCTGGGGCGTATTCATTACGTAGATTATGTTGCAAAACTTTTCTTAAACACAACGAAACGGCGAGGGACCAACCTGCATTTTTCCAATAGAAACTCTCGGTTTAGTTGCAATTGCAACTGTCTGGACTAATGATTACACAGCAGGTTGACACTTCACTTTATGATTGTCTTAAACGCTAAACACATTCGGTTTACCTCAGTGCATTCGGTCCTCATGACGTTCTCAAACGCTCCAGTTCATACAGTATGCAGTGCATTCGGAAAGTATTCAGACCCCTTGACTTTTTCCACATTTTGTTACGTTACAGCAATATTCTAAAATTGATTAAATATGTTTTCCCCACATCAATCTACACACAATACCCCATAATGACAAAGCGAAAACAGCTTTTTAGAAAACAAATTCACATGTATATAAAAAAATAAAACTGAAATACCTTATTTACATAAGTATTCAGACCCTTTGCTATGAGACTCGAAATTGAGCTCAGGTGCATCCTGTTTCCATTGATCATCCTTGAGATGTTTCTACAACTTGATTGGAGTCCACCTGTGGTAAATTCAATTGATTGGACATCATTTGGAAAGGCACACACCTGTCTATATAAGGTCCCACAGTTGACAGTGCATGTCAGAGCAAAAACCAAGCCATGAGGTCGAAGGAATTGTCCGTAGAGCTCCGAGACAGGATTGTGTCGAGGCACAGATCTGGGGAAGGGTACCAAAAAATGTATGCAGCATTGAAGGTCCCCAAGAACACAGTGGCCTCCATCATTCTTAAATGGAAGACGTTTGGAACCACCAAGATTGTGTGTAGATTGATGAGGGGAAAAAACAATTTATTCCATTTTGAAATAAGGCTGTAACGTAACAAAATGTGGAAAAAGTCAAAGAGTCTGAATACTTTCCAAATGCACTGTATACAGGGAAAGGGGGATACTTAGTCAGTTACACAACTGAATGCATTCAATCAAAATGTGTCTTCCACATTTAACCCAACCCCTCTGAATCAGAGAGGTGCAGGAGGCTTCCTTAATGGCTGTCCATGTCATCAGCGCCCGGGGAGCAGGTGTTTTTAGGGAGAAACTGTAATCCATGGTTCAGTTTTCTTTAAACAGCCATTACAAACTTCAGCTAACTTTAGCAACGCTAGCTAAAAATCAATGTAAGTGATGGTGGCATGTGATCACGTTTTTTTGTAAAGGCCAACTCACCTTTAAGTAACATCAAACCAAATATGAGTTGATTTCAGGTGATTTGGACATACTTTTTTTTTAAAGGTCATGAAGTCAAAATCGTGTTTTTCATAACATTGTATGATATTTCATGCTCACTTGCCCCCGTCACTTCCATTTATTTTTAGCTAGTAGTGGCTAATGTTAGCTGAAGTTTGTAATGGCTGTTAAAAGAAAACTGACCCATGGATTACAGTTTCTCCCTAACAACACCTGCTCCCCGGGCGCTGATGACATGGACATCCATTAAGGAAGCCTCCTGCACCTCTCCGATTCAGAGGGGTTGGGTTAAATGTGGAAGACACATTTTGATTGAATGCATTCAGTTGTGCTAGGTACCCCCTTCTTAGGGCTGTTGCTGTGACCGTATTACCGCCACACCGGCGGTCACGAGTCATGACCGCCACGTGACCGTTTAGTCACCGTAGTTAGGCTTCTCCAAGCTCTGATGCTGCTGATGGTCATTAGTAGCCTACCAAACTTGCTAACTGCCGGGAACTCAGCACTCTATTGTCCCCCATTTTGATTGAATGCATTCAGTTGCTACACAGAAAACTGAACCATGGATTACAGTTTCTCCTGGCCCATAGACTACATTCAGGGTGAGGAACCATCTAACATCAAGTTGTAAAATAGTGAACGACTCCTTTAAACTATCATTAAAATAACCATTTGCAATAATGGATGAGTCAGAAACATGAGTCATGTTTAGTGTGATTATTTAATGTAATACAGGATAACCTTAGGTATTATTTTGTACACATAAAAGAAAAACATTCAGATCCAAATAAAATGTAACAAAAATCCTTCTGCTTCTCTCTCTCTTTCTCAACTGCATTCTACTGATGTATTTTACTGTGTTTCTCCCTCTGGACAATAGAAGAAAAATGGGTAGACACTGTTGACTAATCTGAAGTTACTCAGTACTGTAACAGCCAAAAGACAACAATACCACCTACATTAACATTAGTTTTATAAAATAATGTTCAGGAGAAGGAGAAAAAAAAGTATATTTTACCAGTAATATAAAAGCAAAGTGCTAAAAGTTAAAATACAGGCGTACAAAATAAACAAGAAATGGCGATATTAAACTACACTATCAATATACAGCAGATTATGACGCTGTGTAACACAGTACAACATGGCAATCGGGTCTATAAAATAAAGCTAGAAGACAGTCAAATATATGGCAGGAGCTGTACGAAAAACACCCAAAGCATAACAATATGGAATACAGTACAAATTATCCTGAAAATCCAGACCTGTTTTATGCCATCACTACAACATTCCACAAGGAGTCCAAGGAGTGGAACGTTAGCACTAACAGGCTGGTTCCCAGGCTACAAATAATTATGTGTACAAAAAAAAATAAAATTCTAAATGTTTTGCTTTTAAAGAAAATGTGGTAATATAGAATGCATGGCACTTTCAAATCATGGCAAGCATTGGGCAACAACCAAGGCAGAAGTGCACGCTACAGATGTAGGATCTTAATTTGATCACTCTTTTGTTGTTGAGAATTTTCCTGCAAAGCAGGAAATGCAAACTTATAGTGTATTTGAGTTTGAAAAATGCTTCTAAAGTTTGTCATTTCCACTTTGAAATGTCAGACTCGATTTGCCCTAACGGAAAATGTATCAACCCCTACAAAAACGTTCATCGATTATAATCCACATAATAATTCACATTTCCTGTTATAGTTAACATTATGTGATTGGTCACTCTAAAATCACAATAGATCACGGTCATGTTATGATATTAGAGTACTTTTGATGAAAACAGCTGACATTTATTTAAATCTAAAAATGTATTTAGCAACAGCAGATTGCCACAAAGAAAACAAATACAATTTGAACTTAATGTTGAAGTGAACTAGTGTTTAAACGCTTGAAAGGTTTAAATATATTTTCCGTGCAGCTAACTAGATACTGACTAATGGCTGTGTATTAACTCAATAGTTTTAATGTAGTACATTATTAAATGCATTATCAAGTAATAATGCATTCATCAAATAAAGTTTGCAATTGGCGCTACAGAATTCTGTTTAACTTAAGAATAAATGTAATCTATTCTTGAGTATGGGTTTGATTTCATATTAGACAACATGAAAATGTGAACACAATATAGCAGCAGGTAAAATGTTGAGAATCTATTTAAACGAAAAAGAAAGATTCACAGTTCCGTTGTGCAAAACAATCAGACAAACACATTAAGGGAATTGTTACGGTTAGTCAAAGACACTGGTCCATTATCTGAAACGAACAACATCATTCATAAACACTGGACCATTATCTGAAACGAACAACATCATTCATAAACACTGGACCATTATCTGAAACGTACAACATCATTCATAAACACTGGACCATTATCTGAAACGAACAACATCATTCATAAACACTGGACCATTATCTGAAACGAACAACATCATTCATAAACACTGGACCATTATCTGAAACGAACAACATCATTCATAAACACTGGACCATTATCTGAAACTAACAACATCATTCATGGACAACGCAGACAAAAACAAAACTTCATCTTGCATCCCAAATGGCACCCTATTCCCTATATAGTGCGCTACTTTTGATCAGGGCCCGCAGAGCTCCAGTCGAAGGTAGTGCACTCACTATAAAGGGAATAGGGTGCCATTTATACGCAGACCTGCATTGCAATCAGGCGTGTCAAACTCCTGCACACCAATAGACATTTCAGTTAATTGAGCCGAGAGACAAAAATGTATATATGCAATCAATTTTATAATGATAAGGTTTGAAATGAATTAAACCACACAGGCAGTATACTACTAGAAGGAATTTGAACTTTTTACCGTGAGCTCTCGGGACATGAAGTGAACTGATGAGGAAACAAACACAAAACCCCAAAAACGGATCACTTCTGGTAAATTGGCTTTTCATTTCTTTCAATACTGTAATGATGGCGCCAATCAATTATTCAATAACCAATAGGTCAACTGAGGAAGCCTAAATTTGAAAGGGTGTATAATATCACTATATCAAAGCATGTGCATTGTAGGGGTAGGCCTACAATAGCTAACGAACAAACAATTTCGTGTAGCATGAATCAAATTTTAAATGCATAAGTGTCTGAATTGTATTTTTTGTAAGTGGTTGGGTGGTTGGGGGGTTGGGGGGTTGGGTGTTGGGGGTTGGGTGGTTGGGTGGTTGGGGGTTGGTTGGGTTGGGTTGGGGGTTGGTGGGTTGGGTGGTTGTGGGTGGTTGGTGGTTGGTTGGGTGGTGGTTGGGTTGGTTGGTTGGTGGGGTTGGGTTGGGGTTGGTTGGTGGTGGTTGGTTGTGGTTGGTTGGTTGGTTGTTGGTTTGGGGGGGTTGGGTGGTTTGGGTGGTTGGGTGGGTGGGTGGTTGGGGGGTTGGGTGGTGGGTGGTTGGGTTGGTTGGTTGGTTGGGGGGTTGGGTGGTTGGGTGGTTTGGTTGGTTGGGTGGTTGGTTGGTTGGGTGGTTGGTTGGTTGGGTGGTTGGGGGGTTGGGGGGTTGGGTGGTTGGGGGGTTGGGTGGTTGGGTGGTTGGGTGGTTGGGGGGTGGGTGGTTGGGTGGTTGGGTGGGTTGGGGGGTTGGGTGGTTTTTACCATCCCCACACAGCAAACGCATTTAACTATTCAATCTCATTCAGATCATTGTTGACAAATTAAAAACTTGAATGGGCTGTACATGTCCTCCTGTCTGTGAGGAAATAATTGTAGTGCTTTAAAATCAGGTAACTAGCAACTAGTGACTTCTCCTGGATTTTCATTTTAATCTTACCCACCAACCCACAGGACAGGAGGCACAACCATATTTTTTCCGTTGAATGAAATGAATGGTGCATGAATACATTTAACTCATTGAACCTTCCTAAGATTTCCTTTGAAAACTCCCAATGACACATCAGCTTGCAACAAGGCCTACAGTACAGTGTGTTCAATCCCGTTGCACCAGGGATAAAGCTCTGTACTCCCATCTAGTGGCAGCAGCTTGTATTGCATCCTCTGAACATATTTATATTCTTCAGGAGGATAAAAAAACAACAAGGTGGTGATTGGACAGATCAGATCCTTGTTCTGTTTTGAGGGTAAAAGGCATGGAGGGACTCGGGACTGACAGTGGCACCATGGAGTCTGGACTGGCACAGACAGACAGAGGCATCCTGCCATCTCTACTCCACTGTGTCAGATCTATTTTACAGCTAGTGTGCTGGTCACACTACAGCTCAGGGTCGCGTTCAATAGGCATTAAAACGGAAGAAAAAACGTCCCAAAACAGAGGGTAACCCGGAAAGGTACTGAGCTAAATCTGTCCGATAAGAACCCCACTTGTTGGTGTTTGGTGTCCTTTATGAACAGGAATGAACGCGACCCCCCCCAGCTCTCTGGCGTCCGGACTAGTTTGTGCCGCAGCAGCCCAGGTAGCTGATGGCCTTTCCCTCTCCGGGCGTAGCGTTCGCTGTGTCATTGTTGTCCAGCGTGTTCTGTTTGGCTTCGCGGATCAGCTCGCAGGCCAGATCCAGAAAGAGCTTCTCCACGTTGTCAGACTCCTTGGCTGACGTCTCCAGGTACAGCATGCTCTGGGAATCCGCAAACTCTTCAGCTCTCTGCCTCAGGACTTCCCTCTTCTCAGCTAGGTCAATCTTATTACCTGGGGGGAAAAAGGGAAATATTCATCTTTAATATTGAATGTTAGATAGAGAGGCCTGATGCATAGGCTGATTGTTACGGTGTGACTGTGAGCATCACTGACGTTCAACGATACTGTTGATCTTTTCACAAGTTCTGTGCTCTGGCAAAAAAACAAACCAACGTTCCAAAAGGGAGTTATCTAATCTAAATATTCTCAATAGCAGCTAGGATGGGAAGTATCCAATAACAACATACATTTTACTTTATACATTTTCTATAAAGCTTTTCACTCTTGATAAAATCCCTTCCCAGATTCTAGAGTGGAGATATGGTAACCTCACCCCGTGGAACAATTGCATCTAATATTATCTCGTTGTCCATTGTCTGATAAAACCACATAAACTAGTTACCGGTAGGTATGCCTTTAGGACATCTGATCCCACCCTGATAAAGCCAATAGCACATTTTCGAGATGCCATCTACTTTTAATACCGAATAACTTTTGATTACTACGTTGAGCTGGTCCTTGGACTGATGACCATAGCTTTGTATGGGCTTGACCTTTAACCAGAGGGATATTGACATCAATGTGATGTAATGTGACGCACTGCTTTTGGTCCAGGTTGAGCTCTGGTCAAACATTTCAAAGCAATAGGGTGTCGTACAGGACGCACGTTACTACAGCATGTGAACGCTATCTCACCGACTAAAATAGTGACCACGGTGGTGTTGGCATACTGCTCAATCTCCCTCAGCCATTCTGGAAGGCACCGGAAGGAGTCCTCACATGTGATGTCATAGGTGAGGATGAGGGCGTTGGCACTCCTGTAGTAACTCTGGGTGATGGAACGGAAACGCTCCTGGCCTGCTGTGTCCCAGATCTGCAGCTGGGAGGAAAATATGTGTTCAAATCACGTTACCACTGTTTTTACATTTTGGTCATTTAAAGCCTCGCAGACGTTCTCATCCAGAGCGACTTAGTCTGTGCATTCATTTAACTAAAGGTGGGTCAGACAACCACACATCACAGTCAATGTTGAGGTAAGGTTTGTTCTTTGATTCTCATGGTGTTTAAAATAATCTGGTCCCACATTAAACTAATGATAAGGCAGTTACACAAGTTTATAGAGCATTAAACTAATGATAAGGCAGTTACAAAGGTTTATAGAGCATTAAACTCATGATAAGGCAGTTACAAAGGTTTATAGAGCATTAAACTCATGATAAGGCAGTTACAAAGGTTTATAGAGCATTAAACTAATGATAAGGCAGTTACAAAGGTTTATAGAGCATTAAACTCATGATAAGGCAGTTACAAAGGTTTATAGAGCATTAAACTCATGATAAGGCAGTTACAAAGGTTTATAGAGCATTAAACTCGTGATAAGGCAGTTACAAAGGTTTATAGAGCATTAAACTCATGATAAGGCAGTTACAAAGGTTTATAGAGCATTAAACTAATGATAAGGCAGTTACAAAGGTTTATAGAGCATTAAACTCATGATAAGGCAGTTACAAAGGTTTATAGAGCATTAAACTCATGATAAGGCAGTTACAAAGGTTTATAGAGCATTAAACTAATGATAAGGCAGTTACAAAGGTTTATAGAGCATTAAACTCGTGATAAGGCAGTTACAAAGGTTTATAGAGCATTAAACTCGTGATAAGGCAGTTACAAAGGTTTATAGAGCATTAAACTAATGATAAGGCAGTTACAAAGGTTTATAGAGCATTAAACTAATGATAAGGCAGTTACAAAGGTTTATAGAGCATTAAACTCGTGATAAGGCAGTTACAAAGGTTTATAGAGCATTAAACTAATGATAAGGCAGTTACAAAGGTTTATAGAGCATTAAACTAATGATAAGGCAGTTACAAAGGTTTATAGAGCATTAAACTAATGATAAGGCAGTTACAACGGTTTATAGAGCATTAAACTAATGATAAGGCAGTTACAAAGGTTTATAGAGCATTAAACTAATGATAAGGCAGTTACAAAGGTTTATAGAGCATTAAACTCATGATAAGGCAGTTACAAAGGTTTATAGAGCATTAAACTAATGATAAGGCAGTTACAAAGGTTTATAGAGCATTAAACTAATGATAAGGCAGTTACAACAGTTTATAGAGCATTAAACTAATGATAAGGCAGTTACAAAGGTTTATAGAGCATTAAACTAATGATAAGGCAGTTACAAAGGTTTATAGAGCATTCAACTCATGATAAGGCAGTTACAAAGGTTTATAGAGCATTAAACTAATGATAAGGCAGTTACAAAGGTTTATAGAGCATTAAACTCGTGATAAGGCAGTTACAAAGGTTTATAGAGCATTAAACTCGTGATAAGGCAGTTACACAGGTTTATAGAGCATTAAACTAATGATAAGGCAGTTACAAAGGTTTATAGAGCATTAAACTCGTGATAAGGCAGTTACAAAGGTTTATAGAGCATTAAACTAATAATAAGGCAGTTACACAGGTTTATAGAGCATTAAACTAATGATAAGGCAGTTACAAAGGTTTATAGAGCATTAAACTCATGATAAGGCAGTTACAAAGGTTTATAGAGCATTAAACTCGTGATAAGGCAGTTACAAAGGTTTATAGAGCATTAAACTCGTGATAAGGCAGTTACACAGGTTTATAGAGCATTAAACTAATGATAAGGCAGTTACAAAGGTTTATAGAGCATTAAACTCGTGATAAGGCAGTTACAAAGGTTTATAGAGCATTAAACTCGTGATAAGGCAGTTACAAAGGTTTATAGAGCATTAAACTCGTGATAAGGCAGTTACAAAGGTTTATAGAGCATTAAACTAATGATAAGGCAGTTACAAAGGTTTATAGAGCATTAAACTAATGATAAGGCAGTTACAAAGGTTTATAGAGCATTAAACTCGTGATAAGGCAGTTACAAAGGTTTATAGAGCATTAAACTAATGATAAGGCAGTTACAAAGGTTTATAGAGCATTAAACTCGTGATAAGGCAGTTACAAAGGTTTATAGAGCATTAAACTAATGATAAGGCAGTTACAAAGGTTTATAGAGCATTAAACTAATGATAAGGCAGTTACAAAGGTTTATAGAGCATTAAACTAATGATAAGGCAGTTACAAAGGTTTATAGAGCATTAAACTAATGATAAGGCAGTTACAAAGGTTTATAGAGCATTAAACTAATGATAAGGCAGTTACAACGGTTTATAGAGCATTAAACTAATGATAAGGCAGTTACAAAGGTTTATAGAGCATTAAACTAATGATAAGGCAGTTACAATGGTTTATAGAGCATTAAACTCATGATAAGGCAGTTACAAAGGTTTATAGAGCATTAAACTAATGATAAGGCAGTTACAAAGGTTTATAGAGCATTAAACTAATGATAAGGCAGTTACAAAGGTTTATAGAGCATTAAACTCATGATAAGGCAGTTACAAAGGTTTATAGAGCATTAAACTAATGATAAGGCAGTTACAAAGGTTTATAGAGCATTAAACTAATGATAAGGCAGTTACAAAGGTTTGTAGAGCATTAAACTAATAATAAGGCAGTTACAAAGGTTTATAGAGCATTAAACTAATGATAAGGCAGTTACAAAGGTTTATAGAGCATTAAACTCATGATAAGGCAGTTACAAAGGTTTATAGAGCATTAAACTCATGATAAGGCAGTTACAAAGGTTTATAGAGCATTAAACTAATGATAAGGCAGTTACAAAGGTTTATAGAGCATTAAACTAATGATAAGGCAGTTACAAAGGTTTATAGAGCATTAAACTAATGATAAGGCAGTTACAAAGGTTTATATAGCATTCATTAAGCCTTTATTAACACTACATAGATGCTTGATAAATCCTTTATAGCAGGGAATATCAACTAGATTCAGCTGCAGACTGATTTTTTCTTGAGTGGATGGTCTGGGGGCCGGAACATAACTACAAATACTGTGTAGACTGTAAATTGACCGCAAGAAGCCCAAACAGATATCATATTTGACTAAAACATAATCATTTCAAACCTTGCTTACATTTGTATATGATCACATATATCTCTCTCTATTCTGCATGAGAATACTTTGGTACATTTTTCCAAAATTAAAATCACTTGGAGCTGAGTTGCTGGTGTTTTTACAGTCTCAGAAAACTCGGGGGACCAAATAAAATCACCCACGGGTCAAATTCGGCCCATGGGCCACCAGTCAGGGAACCATGCTTTATAGGTACACAAAAGTAATTGTACATGAAGTGTGATTGACAGACCTTGACTTTTTCCCCTTTGATCTCCACAGTCTTGATCATGAAGTCAACTCCTATGGTAGCCCCTTGTCCAGGCGGGAAAAGGCCCTGGGAAATGGGCCGAAAAATTACAGAATTAGAATTAATTGTTTTGTTGCAACTCATTGATGAGACTGTATGATTATGATACTAACCTGAGTGAACCGTCTGACCAGGCAGGTTTGATGTATGATTACGATACTAACCTGAGTGAACCGTCTGACCAGGCAGGTTTGATGTATGATTACGATACTAACCTGAGTGAAGCGGCGGACTAGGCAGGTTTGATGTATGATTATGATACTAACCTGAGTGAAGCGGCGGACTAGGCAGGTTTTCCCAACACCAGCATTTCCTATTAGTACAATTTTGAACAGGTAGTCATAATCTTCCATGCTCATCCTAAACTGTTGATGAAAAGAGGGGGGGGGGGGGGAGAGTGAGAAAGAGAGAGAAATCAGTGGATTGCATAACAGAATATTCTAAGTCATTCTGCAGTGGTAATCAACAACATGTGTGGTACCTGCTGACAACGTTAGTGTACTGATCTCTTCATTTGGCTTAGTTATCTTGAATTACACCTAATAGTGTGGTCCTCTGTAGCTCAGCTGGTAGAGCACGGCGCTTGTAACGCCAGGGTAGTGGGTTCGATCCCCGGGACCACCCATACACAAAAATGTATGCCCGCACGACTGTAAGTCGCGTTGGATAAAAGCGTCTGCTAAATGGCATATTATTATTATTCTTAATACAAACACTGGCCTTGCAGAATTGTTTTTCTTTATAAACCTCCTGTATTACGCACTGTTTGGCTACACTGCCTCTTCCTACCGTTTCCTTCAGCATAGTTTAGATAACGTTAGCCCTATGCTTGCAAAGATATATTGCATAGCATATGTGCACATTACGTCATTTAAGTTAAGGTCTATTCCCAAAAAGAGGTGTTGATTAGTTCTGCATTTCATCAACAGCGGCAATAGTTGCTCTTGAAGCTTTTAAGATTCTACAAGTGAAAGAAAGCAACTGTTGACATTTAATCAGCATCTGACAGTAAGTGTTTAGTTCTAAATGCTGCCTTTTATGCATCACATCAAAAGAGCCATTGTGTTTCCCTGAAGCACATTCACTGTTTTTTCCTCTTGAAGGATCCAAGACGTTGCTATGGCAGGGGGATCCAAGACGTTGCTATGGCAGGGGGATCCAAGACGTTGCTATGGCAGGGTCTAGTGTGCATGTGTCTTTATGGACTGGTTGCCAGGGTCTAGTGTGCATGTGTCTTTATGGACTGGTTGCCAGGGGCTAATGGTGTGATGCTGGGAGGACTGCAAGGAGAAGTCCACACACACACAGACACACACACAGACAGACAGACAGACAGACAGACAGACAGAGAGAGAGAGAGAGAGAGAGAGAGAGAGAGAGAGAGGAGAGAGAGAGAGGAGAGAGAGAGGAGAGAGAGAGAGGAGAGAGAGAGAGAGAGAGGAGAGAGAGAGAGAGAACAAGCCAAACCAACAACCCCTATAGCTAGCCACAAGCTACCATCAAGTTACAGCCTCGTAACATATGCATTGGAAATAGTAAGCTATATTTGATCATAATACTGTAATAGCTAGCTATGTTTTAAATATCAGACAGTGCTTTCTGCTTTGAAGTAGGCCTATCATGTGGCATGCAAACCTGGAAAGGAAAAGAGAAATTGCATGATGCAGCTAGATTTAATTGATGGCCAAGCTACTTTCACGGGTTTCAACTGAAATCTAGCTAACGTTAGCAAGTTACTGACACGTATCCAATGAAAGCAAACCAAATGTATTGGCTGTCCATAACGGAAAGAGCCCTGGTTATGGCCCCAAGTCCCCCACCCCTTTACAATCACATGAAACAATATTTTCAACTTTCATTGTTCTATTCTATCTGACTATAACATTTCGATATAGCTAACGTTTTAATACAAAAACAATCCAATCAGTATTCGGCAAACAAAGGCTAATGGTTATTATTTCTCTTAGAATAACAAGACTATAATATTTTCCAGGGAGAGAGTATGCATCAGTGGTTAGCTGCAGCATACGTTAACTCTCTGGGTGCAATGATTTAACTACCTAACTAGCTAGTTAGCAACCTCTCTTGTTTAGCTAATCAAACATATCGCTCACCTAAACGAACAATTGTTCAGCTCTTCTGGTTGTTATCTAGTAGCTAAAAAACTAAGATCCCCTCTCCAAAAGCAAACAAGCTAGCTAACTAGCTAGCAAGCGATGGTTTCCCCTCAGAACACAGCTAACGCGTACGTCAGCTAGCTTTTAGCTAGGTAGTAACGTTCCCTAGCTAGCTCTCGGTCGCTAGCAAAGATGTTTATTGTAGCAATTGGCTCGCTAAATAATCGTGCCATTTAAAAAACTAACTACACTTACCAAAAACGTGGGGATATTCCCCGACTTCAAAGTATTTCGATATGCATTCAGTCTGCTCAGCAAAATCGGCAACAGGGCTTTTTCCACCAACAGTGCTGTTCACTCAGCCTCAGCAACAGCAGCAGGGTTTCCAGTACCACAGACACAAATTCAAAATGGGAAATATCGCACAAATTCATGAAAACAAAAAAATGTTTTGCTTTTTGGTCTTAATTTAAGGTTAGGATTAAGCATAAGGTTGTCATTGTGATTAAGGTTAGATTTTAAACTCAAATTTTATGAAGAGAAATTGTAGAAATATTGCATGAACAGTAGTCTCTAAAATGGACCTGCTGTTTTCAACTCTTAATGATCGGCTATGAAAAGCCAACTGAGAGACCTGAGCCCTAGGACCATACGTCGGGACTACCGGCCGTGGTGACTCCTTGCTGTCCCCAGTCCGCCTGGCCTTGCTGCTATTCCAGTTTCAACTGTTCTGCCTGTGGTTATGGAACCCCTACCTGTCCCAGACCTGCTGTTTTCAACTCTTAATGATCGGCTATGAAAAGCCAACTGAGATTTATTCCTGATTATTATTTGACCATGCTTGTCACTTATGAACATTTTTGAACATCTTGGCATGGTTCTGTTATAATCTCCACCCGGCACAGCCAGAAGAGGACTGGCCACCCCTCATAGCCTGGTTCCTCTCTAGGTTTCTTCCTAGGTTTTGCCTTTCTAGGGAGTTTTTCCTAGCCACCGTGCTTCTACACCTGCATTACTAGCTGTTTGGGGTTTTAGGCTGGGTTTCTGTACAGCACTTCGAGATATTAGCTGATGTAAGAAGGGCTATATAAAATAAAATTGATTGAAATTGATTGATTGCACTGTTTATTGCATATGTATGTACTGACCAGCCAGTGAACTGATACACATAAAGTACAGTAGGAATATGATGATGATGATGATGATGTACTGGTAGGGAGTTGGGAGGTTATTACTACATTATTACAGAATGAACGCTGCTGTTCATTGATTATTTATTGCCATTACCATTAGTATCTAACTATTTATCCTACTACTGGTCACTATTACTCCCCCCACACTCACCACATATACCTTGCTCCTACTGTTTATTATCTATCCTGTTGCCTTGTGAATTTACCCCTACCTTTAGGTACATATCTACCTCAATGACATTTACGTTTGACATTTAGCAAACACTCTTATCCAGAGCGACTTACAGTTAGTGCGTTCATCTTAAGATAGCTACAGTAGGTGAGACATCCACATGTCACAGACATAGTAAGTACATTTTTCCTCAATAAAGTAGCTATCAGCAAGGTCTGAGCTAGTAAAGTCAAGTGCAAGTGTTAGTTCACAAAGGGGGGTGGGGGTACTGTGGGATTATTTAAGATACTCCTTGAAGAGGTAGAGTTTCAGATGTTTTCGGGAAGATGGGCAGGGACTCTGCTGTCCTAGCTTCAGGGGGAAGCTGGTTCCACCATGGGAATTCCAGGACAGAGAAGAGCTTGGACTGAGCTGAGTGGGAGCTGCCCTGCCGTAGGGGTGGGAGGGCCAAGAGACCAGAGGTGGCAGAACGGAATGCTCGAGTTGGGATGTAGGGTTTGAGCATAGGCTGAAGCAGTTCTTGCTGCTCCGTAGGCAAGCGCCATGGTCTTGTAGTGGATGCGAGCTTCGACTGGAAGCCAGTGGAGTGTGCAGAGGAGCAGGGTGACATGGGAGAACTTGGGAAGGTTGAACAACAGGCGAGCTGCAGCGTTCTGGATAAGTTGCAGGGGTCTGATGGCACAAGCAGGGAGCCCAGCCAACAGCGAGATGCAGTAATCCAGACGGGAGATGACAAGCGCCTGGATTAAGACCTGCGCCACTTCCTGTATGAGGTGGGGTCGTACTCTACGGATGTTGTAGAGCATGAACCTGCAGGAGCGAGTCACTGCTTTGATGTTTGCAGAGAACGACAGGTTGTTGTCCAGGGTCACACCAAGGTTATTTGCACTCTGGGAGGAGGACACCATGGAGTTGTCAACTGTGATGGAGAGGTCTTGGAGCGGGCAGGCCTTCCCCGGGAGGAAGAGCATCTTCGTCTTGTCGAGGTTGAGCTTGAGGTGGTGGGCCGACATCCAAGCTGAGATATCTGCCAGGCACAGAGATGTCCTGGGTGACCCACCTGGGTGTCAGCAGGGCGGGAAGGAGAAAAGTACAGTGCATTCGGAAAGAATTCAGACACCTTCACTTTTTCCACATTTTGTTACGTTACAGCCTTACTCTAAAATTGATTAAATTGTTTTATCCCCTCATCTGCCACCACCATGCTTCAACGTAGGGATGGTGCCAGGTTTCCTCCAGACGTGACGCTTGGCATTCAGGCCAAAGAGTTCAATCTTGGTTTCATCAGACCAGAGAATCTTGTTTCTCATGGTCTGAGAGTCCTTTAGGTGCCTTTTGGCAAACTCCAAGCGGGCTTTCATGTGCCTTTTACTGAAGAGTGGCTTCCATCTGGCCACTCTACCATAAAGGCCTGATTGGTGGAGTGCTGCAGAGATGGTTGTCCTTCTGGAAGTTTCACCCATCTCCACAGAGGAACTCTGGAGCTCTGTCAGAGTGACCATCGGGTTCTTGGTCACTTCCCTGACCAAGGCCATTCTCCCCTGATTGCTCAGTTTGGCCGGGTGCCCAGCTCTAGGAAGAGTCTTGGTGGTTCCAAACTTCTTCCATGCTGCAGACATTTTTTGGTACCGTTCCCCAGATCTGTGCCTCGACACAATTCCTTTGACCTCATGGCTTGGTTTTTGCTCTGACATGCACTGTCATCTGTGGGACCTTATATAGACAGGTGTGTGCCTTTCCAAATCATGTCCAATCAATTGAATTTACCACAGGTGGAGTCCAATCAAGTTGTCAAAACTTCTCAAGGATGATCAATGGAAACAGGATGCACCTGAGCTCAATTTCGAGTCTCATTGCAAAGGGTCTGAATACTTATGTAAATATGTAAACCTGTTTTCGCTTTGTCTTTATGGGGTATTGTGTGTAGATTGATGAGAATTGTTATTTTTTTAATCCATTTTAGAATAAGGCTGTAATGTAAAAAAATGTGGAAAAAGGGAAGGGGTCTGAATACTTTCCAAATGCACTGTATCTACCTCAATGCTCCAGTATCGCTGTTTTTTATTGCAAAATATTCCCAACCATCAACTAGTTAAAGTTTTATTTGTCACATGTACAAGTACAAATGCTAAACTTGCAAGCGCTACCCAACAGTGCAGTATTCAATATAAAAAAAAGTATAACAAAAAAACAAGTGAAATAAGAAATAGGACAGGAAGCTATATACAGGGTCAGGGCCAATTGAAATGTAGTCAACTTTAGAGGGTTGGGGGGAAATGAGTGAATTAATGAAATATGTTTTTCTTTGATGAAAATAAACCATGCAAATATGTTTGCCAATAATACAAGGTATTTTGTGAACTGAAAAACAGAAGAATCCGATTTTTTCGGCGGAACCAGCTGTTTGGTTCCTTGACGGACTGGTGTCACGGTTACACTGGACGGCTAAAGAATATGCCCTTGATTTCCTCTGTGAGGTGAAGCGCTAATAGGCTAGTCAACAAAGTCAGTTTATAATAATACTAATAATTTGATTGTTTGGATCAGTGCATTTTCCGACATGGGGCTTCCAGATGAGGCGAAGGTCCTTCCACCTCCAGGAATAATAAACCGAAACTCTGTCTGGCTCGGTCTTATCGGCTGGTGCTCGGCGATGCTACAGAATGCCCTCAACCGTAGGCCGCCCATGAAATCAGGTAGGGTTAGCTAGCTGGCTAGCTCACGTTAGCATCGCCTAGCACAAGCCGCTAAACAAGATTACCGTAACTAACTGTTAGCTAGCTAGTTTGATCTCAACCGAGAGCCAGGTCAAGCCATTTAATGTAATAGGCTTTATAATGCCCAGCTAACTGTTTTTTAATGATCAAACAAATTTAACGATTAACGTTATCCGGCTAGCTAGCACCGTTGCCTACAAACACATACGTTAACTGGTAGTTAGCTTGACAGCTGGCTACAAACATCAGAACACTGCTTGACAGCTTCCATTCTTAACAAAAATTCACTGTCTAGTGTAAATGAATGTTCAATAAGGTAACGTTGCATAATAACACTGCATTTATGGAAAAATTGATTTTTGTAGTCTGCAATAATAACTGACATCGATTGGTCTATGAAATGTGGCCATTCTGTCGACTGACATCATATCAGTCATGTCAGGATGTCTTATAGCGTCGATGCAACCCAGATCGTTTTTTACATTTAAAAATTCCTGGTTTCATCGAAACTAGGTGTGTTATTGTGTGTAGGCAGGCTCCTTGGCTGTTCAGCGTAACAGTATGGTGAATTAGCTAAATTGTATCAATAATATGCCATTTAGCAGACGCTTTTATCCAAAGCGACTTACAGTCATGTGTGAATACATTTTTACGTATGGGTGGTCCCGGGGATCGAACCCACTACCCTGGTGTTACAAGCGCCGTGCTCTACCAGCTGAGCTACAGAGGACCACAAATCTACACATGAAAATAGGCTCTCTAGGTATTTTAATAATATAGAAATTACACTTTACCAGGCTGATGTAGGCTAATACTAGTTACAGACTGTACACCAAAATGTGATTTAACCCCCCCAAATTGGTATCTATTATACTGGGAGTTACAGGTCTGCCAATGCAAAACGTTGCCAGATATTTTTTTAACCAACCAGGTATTGGCAATACTATCTATGTTCTCGATTCGTGGAAACTGGAGTCTCATGAAATGACTGTGTACAGTTGCACGGGGTCCGTTTTTAATTTTGAATAAACCTCTTATTAAAATAAATGTTTTGCTCCATGAATTAATCCAACAATGTGTACACCGCCATCTTGTCTATTACAAATCTTCTCTCATTGATCGATGACCGGTGAGTGTCATCGTCACATGCAGCACTTTGGGGTGGACCCACCTGTCTCGATCAATGACAGAAGATTTGTTGGATTATTTAATGAAGCAAAAAATGCTCCTATTTTATGTCATTTTATATCAGTCTCAATGTACTTTTGTACTTTTGTCATTGTCTTTGCAGGTGTTCACCGGCAAGCCTTGCTGGCATCTATTGGTTGGTTCATTGGTTACCATGTCACCAAACACGAGAACTACACATACGCTAAACTGGACCGGGACATGAACGAATATGTACGACTCCACCCAGAGAACTTTTCAGACAAAGGTAAATGGATTGGACTGATGTCCACATAGGAAGACATGAATGATCTGTGATCAAGACGAGTCAGTCGCTAGGCTAGATTCTATCAACAACACCCCAAGCCTTCATAATGTTCTCATGGACCAGCAGATAAATAAAACAGCCCTCCAGGCTCTAGTTGTGACCCCAAGAAATACCTACTATCCTACACCAAATGTTACGTCATTGGCACGTTTTATGTTATTGATTTCTTTAAAATGAATACGGCATTGACATGCACAGAGCAATCAACCCAGCTCGTTTCACAAAACTCGGGGCAACTCACTGATTGTACGTACGTCAGTCATTTTTAATTCAGTATTTAATCAAGTGGGTTTTCTTGTGTTTGATCTCCACAGAGAAGAAGACATTTGCTGAGATCGTGGAGCCTTTTCACCCAATTCGCTGAGTGTAGGAGGTTGGCTGAAGGAGAGGAGAGAACATTTGAACAGAATACCACCTGTCTCTGTAGTCCCCTGTTGGTGTTAATGCGATCACCCATTACATTACGTGAAATCTAAAGAGTCTTGTATATAATAAAACAAATCCTACTCAAATAATGTGCTCTTGTTTGCACAGAATATTATTCCTCTCCAATAAAGTGGGTGTCATTGTGTTCCAGATAATAGGTTGTATTATCGCCTGTTGTTCATGGATTTAGAATAGCATCATTTTCTTATTCAATGTGACAGTTGCCTTGGACGCCCGCCCAGGCTTCGATCACCAAGGTGAGTTGAAAGCTTGTGACAGGGGTTGTCCAAGAAGACACAATTCTGAGCTGTTCACAGTTCTCACACAATGAAATGTATTTCATATCAGGATCAGTATTATCTGCTATGTTGATCTTGATAAATACAGAACGGGGAAGTAGATCAGCTAACATAATTGTAATCCTGCAGTTGCTGTATGTGCTCTTTTAACACCAATCACTGAAAGTCTTGGACATTTCAAAGACAAACAAACAAAAAAATAGACATGCAGAAGTCAGTTATGATAAAGCACCTTTATTCAATTTTATACACAACTTGGTGTTATTGACAGTATGTGTAAACAGCTTTGACAGTTGTAAATTTTAGTTATGTTCAAGGCCCAAAATGTATTGCTTGTTTTGTTTTGTCGATTTGGAGTTAACCTGAGCCTAGTTATTCTAATGCATTATTCCAATGATGTCCATGTACTTGGTCGTGACGCCCTGGGACTTCTTGGTGAGGTTTCCCATGACAGAGAACAGTCCCCTGAGGTGGAAGTGGAACAGGGCCTCTGGGTCAGCCTCCAGCATGGGCTCCAGGGTCTTACTCAGGGACAGGTGGTTCTGGGTCTTGGCCTTGCGGTCATCCAGCTGGACCAGTCCGCTCTCCACTGCGTTCCTGACGGCCTTCAGCATCAGGTAGTAGTCATAGAGGTCTTTACAGGAGCTTTCGGCTGCAGAGCGACAATCCTGGAAACAGTCGTCTTCTTCCTCGGAGTCTGACTCCACATCTCTGAGCAAGCTGGGGAGGAGGACAGTCTGTTCCATGTTGTGGACGGCAGCGCTGTATCGCCTCAGAGCCAGGAGCAGGCAACCCCGGTTCAGCTTGGTGTTGGTCTCGGCAGACTGCATGGCTGAGGTTCCAGGTGGATGGATGGCTCTGGCTGTTCCTGGTAGAGATGGCTTGTTCCTGGGCTGGTGGTGGGGATGGGGCTGGAAGCCTGAGTGCAGTGCAAGGAGCTGAGGGGAGGAATTGGGGCTTTATAGGCTAGGATAGGCCTACCGGAGGTGGGCAAACTGACTGCCCCGAGGTGAGGTGAGGTGGGCCGGGCTGGTCAACTGTAGTTATGCAACAGGATGGGTTGATCCTTTGAGCAACATTGTGACTGTAATGTTGAACCAAGGCCAATAGGTAAACTGTAGTTATGCAACAGGATAGGGTGATCCTTTGAGGGACATTGTGACTGTACTGTTGAACCAAGGCCAATAAGTAATTGTTTGTTTTTCACAAGCTTTCTTTTAGGTCTGACCCCATTTAGTCGACTGGTTGATTGTTTGGTCGATGTGCTGTTAGTCGACAGATTTTTTTGTTGTCGAGCAGTGGCAAATATATATATATATATAAAAAATTGTTATGGGGCGGCGCACAATTGGCACAGCGTCGTCCAGGGTAGGGGAGGGAATGGCCGGCAGGAATGTAGCTCAGTTGGTAGAGCATGGCGTTTGCAACGCCAGGGTTGTGGGTTCGATTCCAGTATGAAACAATAAAAATGTATGCACTCACTAACTGTAAGTCGCTCTGGAGAAGAGCGTCTGCTAAATGACTAACATGTTAAAATGTTATGGCACGCTAGACACCTGTCTGATTCCCGCCTGTCTGAGTGGACTAATCCATTGTGGAGGCTGCGGGGGTGGCTCACCAGTAGTACATTTACCTTCAATTTCTAATCTACAATGTTTGTTTGGTTATGGTCATTTCTGTTAATGCATTCAATATATTATTACAGTCTTACCGTTGTCATTGTAGGAGTGGACACGTTATTTGCAGAGCGCACAACCTAATTATTCCGTGCGCAGCTCCAGCTGTGTCTGTCTGTCCAGAGCTAACTGAAACGCTGAGGGCCCAGAAGACCATGCATAGCCGATGTGATTTATAAGATATATTTTTATCAGGATATATTTCTACCTGCGGGCTGCAATGTTTTTATTTGTTGGCTTTATGTTGGCTATATTTACATATTGGCAATGGCAATAGAAGTTACTTTTAGATTTGTATCATTTTTATATGTTGTATTAACCACATACATTGATTTTGAGATATGAAGACTTTATTATAAATGAAATGAAACTGTTCCACGAAAATGTCCATATGAAAATCATAACTGGCATGCAGATCAGTCGAAATGGTACGATAACTTGGCACTCCAAATGGAATACGGTTGCTGGTGTAGCCTGTTACCGGGAACTTCAGGAGCATAACGGCAGAATCTCTGAGAAGGCAGAGGAGGAGAAGGGTCAGGAACAGGATTTTTTTCTTCTGGTTAGGCTTTATTGATCTCTGGCTCCCTCTTTAGTAATTTGTGTGTCTTAATTTTTAAAGCATCAGACAAGCTCAATAGCCTACATATAGTTGATTTTTATTCAAACTTAACTTGTGTCTATATATGGAAAAGTACACGTTTAAACATTCCGACCAAGCGATTGCAAGATGACTCTCGGTCAACCTAGATTTTTTTTTAGTCTGGGACAGCCTTACTTTATTTTGTCTGGCAGTGGTCCATGGACAGTGGATGAGTGAGTGATGAAGAAATCTTTGCAGCACCCGGTTATCTCGGTTTTTGTTATCTCAAGTTTGTTTTTCTTCATTGAGGGTGTGGTGAAACCACATGATGTCTCAAATCAGCCCATATGCTCTGGCAGTTATAATAACTTTAAGTTGTAGCTTTAATTTGTCATTCAACAGATATAGATTACTTTATTTTTGTTTACATAGTTTATGGAAACATCCTTAAAGGATTGAGAAGTTTAAATGTTTCATTTGAACATATAGTCAAGTGTACCATACAGCCTCAAAATGACAGTTTGATCAGATATGATAAGGTATTGATTTATTCAGCACATTTCATTGGAAGGCCACCTTTGTTTGTATTGTCAGGGTACTAGCGTACAGATGTACTCAGGGTACTAGATGTACAGCATTAGTGAGGTCGGACACTGATGTTGGGTGATTAGGCCTGGCTCGCAGTAAGCTTTCCAATTCATCCCAAAGGTGTTTGATGGGGTTGAGGTCAGGGCTCTGTGCAGGCCAGTCAAGTTCTTCCACACCGATCTCAACAAACCATTTCTGTATGGACCTCGCTTTGTGCACAGGGGTATTGTCATGCTGAAACAGGAAATGGCCTTCCCCAAACTGTTGCCACAAAGTAGGACGCACATAATCGTCTAGAATGTATGCTGTAGCGTTAAGATTTCCCTTCACTGGAACTAAGGGGCCTAGCCCGAACCATGAAAAGCAGCGCCAGACCATTATTCCTCCTCCACCAAACGTTACAGTTGGCACTATGCGTTCGGGCAGGTAGCGTTCTCCTGGCATCCGCCAAACCCATATTCGTCCGTCGGACTGCCAATGGCGGCGAGCTTTACACCAATCCAGCCAACGCTTGGCATTGCGCTTGGTGATCTTAGGCTTGTGTGCGGCTGCTCGGCCATGGAAACCCATTTCATGAAGCTCCCGACGAACAGTTATTGTGCTGACGTTGCTTCCAGAGGCAGTTTGGAACTCGTCAGTGTTGCAACCGAGGACTGACGATTTTTACACGCTACACGCTACACGCTTCAGCACCTCCCGTTCTGTGAGCTTGTGTGGCCTACCACTTCGTTGCTGAGCCGTTGTTACTCCTAGACATTTTGACTTCACAATAACACCACTTACAGTTAACCGAGGCAGGGCACAAATTTGACGAACTGACTTGTTGGAAATGTGGCATCCTATGACGATGCCACGTTGAAAGTCACTGAGCTCTTCAGTACGGGCCATTCTATTGCCAATGTTTGTCTATGGAGATTTCATGGCTGTGTGCTCAATTTTGTACACCTGTCAGCAATGGGTGTGGCTGAAATAGCAGAATCCACTCGATTCCCACGGGGGGGGCCAGTATGAAAAAATAAATAATGTATGCACTCACTAACTGTAAGTCGCTCTGGATAAGAGCATCTGCTAAATGACTAAAATGTAAATGTACAAATTTGAAGGGGTGTCCACATACCTTTGGCCATGCAGTGTATGTATTCTAGCGTCTGCTAAATGACGTAAATGTAAATGTTAATGTAATCTAAATATGTCTTTTGGGAGGAAACTGTCCATTGTGCCTTGAGCAAGGCAGTTAACCAACAACAACAGTTTCTCCCTAACAACACCTTCTCCCCGGGCGCTGATGACATGGACGTCCATTAAGGAAGCCTCCTGCACCTCTCCGATTCAGAGGGGTTGGGTTAAATGTGGAAGACACATTTTGATTGAATGCATTCAGTTGTGCTAGGTACCCCCTTCTTAGGGCTGTTGCTGTGACCGTATTACCGCCACACCGGCGGTCACGAGTCATGACCGCCACGTGACCGTTTAGTCACCGTAGTTAGGCTTCTCCAAGCTCTGATGCTGCTGATGGTCATTAGTAGCCTACCAAACTTGCTAACTGCCTGGTACTCAGCACTCTATTGTCCCTCTAATCACGCTGACATCAATGCAAATGTATTCAATTTTTTTATCAAACACTTCATGAGAGCCCATTAGCTCATGTTGCGCAACATGCAATTGCGCGAGAAAACCGAGTGATGGCCTCTACTAAAAAGAGGAGGATCCCATCAGCTTTCTATAGGCTAGGACTACTATATTTATTTCTCAACTTTCCTAATATTAAGCACATTGCTTATAGTTACAACAGGAGTATAGCCTACCTGGCTGGCATGAAAATGAACCACGGGGAAAAGCGTCCTCCATTCGCTATTTAAGTGCATAGATTACATGTATTGTTCCCCCTCCCCCTGTTTCGATACAGGTGCATGATAATGGTCCATTCTAAATCAAAACAAATTTCACACATATATTATTTAGTATATGTAAAGGCAAGATTAAATCAGGATTAGTCTGATTGGTGACAATATTAGCCTATCACTTGTGAATTATATATTATCACTTATGAATTACATATTTTTTGTGTGCAACTTTTTCGATTCATAGTCGCACACCTCATGTAGCCTAGCTGTTTTGATAAGGTTTGTATTACAACTAAAGTGGCCAAATAACTTCTTAAAATGAAGCACATTAATCCGCTTTACAAGGGGTGTAGAGCCTAACTGGCATACATAAGCAGCAAGTGAGTTTCAAGTTTGGGGAAGATATTTTCACCATAACAATTAACCTTTATTATAAAAGCATTACATGCATGATTGCATTTGCGGTCACTTTTGATAATGGTGTTTTCCAGCTAATGGAACATTTTGCGCTTATAGCCTACTACCATGTACGCATTGCTGCACTTATAATGTGAAGAAATAGCCTAATCGTTTATAGACATTTTAAGCTAAACGTTCTGATCTGTTGCGCCAGCCACATTGCGTAAAAAATTATTTTTTAATGCTAGTGGTTATATTAATTTGGGATCTATCACATCCACAGGAGGTTGTTGGCGCCTTAATTCGGGAGGACGGGCTCATCGTAATGACTGGAGCGGAATTGGTGGAATGGTATCAAATACATGGTTTCCATGTTTGATGCCATTCCATTTACTCCGTTCCAGCCATTATTATGAGCAGCCTCCACTGATCGCATCCCACAACTGTCCCAGACTATGTTTGGAATATTTATTTCTCGTACAGAATAGAATAGGTCAACTTCTGTACTATGGGGGATAGTAGATTGACATAGGCTAGTGCTTTTGCTGTTCGTTAGGCCTACTCATCTTGTTGGTTGACAAAAAAGTAAATGTGGACAGTTCTTCCAAAATCTTCAATATGCACCTCGGAATTGGATAAGGACACGCCCATAAAGTCCCTGATGTGTCTATCTTCACTTGTAGCCTCAGAGAAAGACCCGATCACGTGAGCCATGTGAGTGAGAGATGCTTCCATGTGAGTGAGAGATGCTTCCATGTGAGTGAGAGGTGCTTCGGAGCGTGCAGCACTCAGGGAGAAGGGCACAACGGCCACTGGCCGCAAAAGGCATGGATTTTTTTTGGGTGCATTACGGCCACACAAAGGGGATGCCGCCGGGAAATTCGAGGCATTATCAAGAGCTTGTCAAATTGTGAATGAGAGACTGATGAAGTGTACAGCCTGTCCATAAACAAAGCAGAGCTCATGCCTTTCAAGCTACCTTTTTCAAATCATCATTAGAGTTGCATCATGCGGCCTTACAATGTATTAAAAATCTAAACATATAGCCCTACGTTTGTAGAACAACTAAAGTTAAATTAATAACTCTAAATTAAGCATTTAGGAATACCTATTTAAATAATAATAATAATAATAATAATATGCCATTTAGCAGACGCTTTTATCCAAAGCGACTTACAGTCATGCGTGCATACATTTTTGTGTATGGGTGGTCCCGGGGATCGAACCCACTACCCTGGCGTTACAAGCGCCGTGCTCTACCAGCTGAGCTACAGAGGACCACATTTCTTTGTTAACCACTCAACACAGAATAGCCGCATGTGTGCACTTCCTCAAATCGTTTGGAGAAAACATCCTTTCTATTTTATTCAGCTTTGTTAAATTGTATTCTTCATACTATAAAATAATATATAATAATGCCATGGAATTCTAAGCAAATCTTGTCTGCTAAATGAACTAGTGTAGCCCACAGCCATATGGCATAGCCAGATCAGGACCTAACATAAAGACAACTCAGAGTATGCTATTCTGTTCTTCTGAAATAGACTACATTTTCTTCATATCATGCTTCTTTAGACCTGTCTAAAATAAATAATGGATTTATTGTGAAGGTGTAGTCGTGACAGCCCTAGTCCCTTCCCTAGTGATGTGATAATAAAACCAAAATGATTTTTTTTACGTACTGTAGATGAATGCCAGTTAGTTGTTTTATTAATGCTCTAACCTGTAAGCTCAAACCTATAAGCAACACCCTACATACATTCCAACAGTACTACACTTATGTGTTTCATTTTGTAGTAAAGCAAAAGTACTTCACAGCAGGAAATTTAAAACGGTTGAATAAATTGTATTTCTGTTGGAAGTTGACACCAATATGGTTCCATATGTCCTCTGTGGGGTCTTATTAAGTCGTGCTGATAAATGAAACACCAGGGACTAAGCTTGTTAGAAATAGACTACTGTAGGTCAACTAAATATACTCAGTAGGTAAGGATTGTAGCAAGTGGAGGGGATATCTTTCAGTATAAGCAAGCGTCAAGCGTATGATTCCCGGAAGTTTGTTAACCATGGAAATGATTGAAGACAGGGCGTTTTAAGACAATATAAAAATTATATGGCTTTAGACGTAGTTAAAACTGTTGAATCACTTCCTTTATTTAATCACGACAATAGAGTAAATAATACAATAAATCTCTGTTTATTTAGAAGGGTTGATTCAATTGTTAAGGCAACCCAAATTCACGTTTAAGCAAAATACACACACAACCTTTTAAATAACATTTCCGGTATATGATTCGTTGTTGTGACAATCGTTCTACAATCGTAATAGTCAGTCAGTAAATCAAAACAAACCATTCCGTTTTTAATCATACAGTAGGTCCATGGATACATTATTCAAGTGAAACAACGTTTGTCTGACGTTTCCAGAATCCAAAAAGCAGAGATCAGTCCCAACCCATGGGACACAGCCAGAACCCAAACAGCAGAGATCAGTCCCAACCCATGGGACACAGCCAGAACCCAAACAGCAGAGATCAGTCCCAACCCATGGGACACAGCCAGAACCCAAACAGCAGAGATCAGTCCCAACCCATGGGACACAGCCAGAACCCAAACAGCAGAGATCAGTCCCAACCCATGGGACACAGCCAGAACCCAAACAGCAGAGATCAGTCCCAACCCATGGGACACAGCCAGAACCCAAACAGCAGCGATCAGTCCCAACCCATGGGACACAGCCAGAACCCAAACAGCAGAGATCAGTCCCAACCCATGGGACACAGCCAGAACCCAAACAGTAGAGATCAGTCCCAACCCATGGGACACAGCCAGAACCCAAACAGCAGAGATCAGTCCCAACCCATGGGACACAGGTGGGAATTTAGAATGAACTGTCACTTTCAACATGCAGTCAAAAACAATCTATGGAACATCTTTAGTGACTCAGAAACCTGGACCTTTTACTTTGGAAATATACTTTTTTTTCTCTCAAATATATATAAAGTACCATCATTGTTTTGAAAAACAACAATTCCATTCCGTTTATTTAAAATAAGAGGATATACAATACATCTATTCAGTTTCTTTAAATAATTTATCCTGAATAGGAATAGGAATGCAGATAATCCTAGTCACCAGCCAGAGAATCCTAGTCACCAGCCAGAGAATCCTAGTCACCAGCCAGAGAATCCTAGTCACCAGCCAGAGAATCCTAGTCACCAGCCAGAGAATCCTAGTCACCAGCCAGAGAATCCTAGTCACCAGCCAGAGAATCCTAGTCACCAGCCAGAGAATGACCCTACATTTCCCTAATGTTCCAAACTCGTGTGTTTATGGTATGAGGGCTGGCTTCCAGAAGGCAGATGCATTCGCTGAATCCTGGCTTATTACACCATTAAAGGCTCAACGAGCAGCCAATGATGAGCTGTAACTAGGCAGAGTCCATATAGCGCTCTACTCGGTAGGTAGGTGGGTAGGATGGATGGATGGATGGATATCAGTCCTGCACACTGTCTGTCAACAGCAGTTATACATCCTCTCTTAAAATACCCTTAAGAACAATGTATCACTTGGTGACAAAGTGTGTTTTAAGACCGTTACAGAGGAGGACTAGAGAGAGCTGTGGTGACTAGAGAGAGCTGTGGTGACAGAGGAAGAGGAGGATTAGAGAGAGATGTGGTGACAGAGGAGGAGGACTAGAGAGAGCTGTGGTGACTAGAGAGAGTTGTGGTGACTAGAGAGAGCTGTGGTGACTAGAGAGAGTTGTGGTGACTAGAGAGAGTTGTGGTGACTAGAGAGAGTTGTGGTGACTAGAGAGAGCTGTGGTGACAGAGGAGGAGGACTAGAGAGAGCTGTGGTGACTAGAGAGAGTTGTGGTGACTAGAGAGAGTTGTGGTGACTAGAGAGAGCTGTGGTGACAGAGGAGGAGGACTAGAGAGAGCTGTGGTGACTAGAGAGAGCTGTGGTGACTAGAGAGAGCTGTGGTGACTAGAGAGAGTTGTGGTGACTAGAGAGAGTTGTGGTGACTAGAGAGAGTTGTGGTGACTAGAGAGAGTTGTGGTGACTAGAGAGAGCTGTGGTGACAGAGGAGGAGGACTAGAGAGAGCTGTGGTGACTAGAGAGAGCTGTGGTGACTAGAGAGAGCTGTGGTGACTAGAGAGAGCTGTGGTGACTAGAGAGAGTTGTGGTGACTAGAGAGAGCTGTGGTGACTAGAGAGAGCACCAGAAGGAGGAAGAGGAGGAAGATGAGGAAGAGATCTCTCCTCTGCTCCACTCAGGTGATACACACATAGAGAGAACATATAGGTTGCATCACAATTCTCTACCCTTCTCCCAAAGTGGGCACTTTCACACTTCCTGTCATTGATCTCAAAGTCTTTGATTGGTGTAATCATTGTCTAGAGGGTTTCCACCGTTGTTAACTCTATGATGGGACTTTGGGAATGGGGATGTAGAAATCGAGAACATAGAGTGGACAAGACGGGTTCCATTATGCTTCAATCAACTCAGTCTTCTTGGTCAATGGAGATTTGGGACATGGCTCACTCCCACTCACGTATATCCACCTTCTCATCAAGATGCTCACGTTCGTCGTTTGTTCATTTATACATTTCCTCCATATATTATATATTAAAAATTCCACCATAATTGCTTTCCGTCCCAGACAAAGAAAGAAAACAATCGTATTCTTTCTCAACAACCTTTTCTGCGTTGCATTCTGTACAGTCTGAGTCCATCAAACAGGAAGTGCAACAGGAAGTGACGTCATCATCATTTTGATGATTTGACCTGCTTTCTCTGTCCGTTGACGATGATCTCTAGAACGTTGGTGAGGTCCATCATCTTTCCCAACATCTCCATGATGTCTTGGTGGTCCTTGGCTCCTTCGATAAACTCCTCTAGAGTCAACTCACCTGGAGGTGTGAAGAATTAATTGAGTTGAATATAATTTATTTTGGTAAAAAAATATATAGAACAATATATTCATTGGATCCCCAGAGGATAGCAATTAAAGCATTAAAAAGCTAACTTAAATTCCACCCCCAATAATACCTATCTGTATTGCGGGTAAGCTCACCCATTTCAATACATTTACATCTCTAAATGTTGATAATTCTTACCTTCGTTATTGATGTCAACCTTCTCATAGATGAGGGTCACAATCTCCTCCGTAGGAGGGTCATAACATCGGGTAATGTCCTGGATAGCCTGAAGTAATCAAAACAGAACCAAGAGCTGAAGTCACAGAGAATATCATTAGAAATAAGGGTTTTTATGCTTTCATGTCATCCTCTGGGGTTCTATCATCCTCTGGGGTTCTATCATCCTCTGGGGTTCTATCATCCTCTGGGGTTCTATCATCCTCTGGGGTTCTATCATCCTCTGGGGTCCTATCATCCTCTGGGGTCCTATCATCCTCTGGGGTTCTATCATCCTCTGGGGTTCTATCATCCTCTGGGGTTCTATCATCCTCTGGGGTCCTATCATCCTCTGGGGTTATATCATCCTCTGGGGTTCTATCATCCTCTGGGGTCCTATCATCCTCTGGGGTCCTATCATCCTCTGGGGTTCTATCATCCTCTGGGGTCCTATCACCCTCTGGGGTTCTATCATCCTCTGGGGTCCTATCATCCTCTGGGGTTCTATCATCCTCTGGGGTCATATCATCCTCTGGGGTCCTATCATCCTCTGGGGTCCTATCATCCTCTGGGGTTCTATAATCCTCTGGGGTTCTATCATCCTCTGGGGTTCTTGGTACTTTTCAAAAAAAAAAAAACTGTGAGTCATCACTAAGTCATCACTAAGTCATCACTGGAGTCATCACTAAGTCAGTTTTACCCAAATATCAATCAATCAGGTCTACTATGTCTGAGGTATACAACAGTATTTCAACAGTATCATGTCCTTAGTGAGTCCCCACAACACATTGGGGCCTATAATAATACCTCCTTTCTCCTGAAGTGTGCACTCATCCATTGCTTCCCACAAGTACTGGGACCTTTCCACCGTATTTCTTTTACCAGTCATTTCCTTTCAAATCAGTAAAAGGAATTGAACAAGTGCACACTTTGGGAGGAAGGCCAGATAATTGGAACATTTGCCGCAGCATTCATAAAATGACTTAGTGATGACTCCAGTGATGACTTAGTGATGACTCCAGTGATGACTTAGTGATTACTTAGTGATGACTCAGACTCCATTGCCCTATAAGATATTGAGTAGTCAGTAGCACGATGGTTACTTCTCTGTCTGATTGGTCTACTCTGAGATGTAAAGCGTAAACACTAGGCCCAGAATACGTCCCCAGATAAGAGTCCATTGACTATTCGGACTGTTTGAGGCTATCAAGCCAATCCACAACAGTCAGTGAACCGTTACGTATTTTTATTTTTATGTATACTTTCTTAGTTTAACTGATTTGCCTTTAAAAAAAAATACTCTTATAGTAAACGTTTCCTCTAAACAGGATAAGAAAAGTTTTAATGACTGCGGCTTTGTGGTGACTTAAATAGGACATCTCTAATATGATGAATAAGGCACTGAAATCCAGCTCAAAATTCGACAGTATCTTTTTTGTGCTATATAATTGCCAGTGTCGCTAGCTAGCGAAGCAGCAGATTGATCGACGACAGACAGTAGTGAAGGATAGAATTAGGTTAGGATTAGATTAGCAACCCTTTGTTGGTGTGTACTGTCTAGTTGTCGGCTATTTAAACCTTTCTGAACCCTTCACAGTTAATCTCCCTGCTCTACTGAAGTCTATTTTCAGAGGAGATATAGAGAGTTTATAATGTTCTTCAGGCCCTGAGCCTGATAAACATCCCTGTATAAAATCACAGCAACTAAACGGACAGAATAATAAATAAATACAGAAACACCACCTTGAATATTGTCCCCATTTCATCTTGGTCAATTTTGCCGTTTCCGTCCTGATCGAAAAGTTTGAAGTACCACTTCAGTTTCTGGTTGATTTCTCCTTTCAGCATCAGACTGACTGCTGCTATGTATTCTACAAAGTCTATATATCCATCCTGGAAGAGAGAGAGAGAAATATGATTGTTAGACAACAAAAAAAAAGAGAAGAGATACTTACAATAACTTTCTGGTTAACGCCTACACCTAATGTAATTATAATAGCCTAATAAAGTTGCCTCTCAAGGATGGTCTATGTCAACAATAAGAAAGCATTCAAAGGGTTCATAGCTGAGTTATATGGAGATTATAACAGTTTCTTACAGGCAAATCATCAACGATACGTTATGTAAGTAAAGTATTTCAACCCGAGCTATAGGCTTAGAAAGTTCAAAGGGGGCACGGTGGATGATGGCATCCTGTGTGGTCCGCTGACGTGTGGCGAGCATTATGGTACGAGTGGCTACCGACCATGCATCACGCAGGTGGGTGCCACACAGCGGTGGTGGATGAGGAGAGTTTCCCCCCCTTACTGTGAGCATCTTGAACAGCACTATATTCAAACAGTGGGGAAAAAAAAATTTTGTCAGCCACCAATTGTGCAAGTTCTCCCACTTAAAAAGATGAGAGAGGCCTGTAATTTTCATCATAGGTACACGTCAACTATGACAGACAGAATGAGGAAAGAAAATCCAGAAAATCACATTGTATGATTTTTTATGAATTTATTTGCAAATTATGGTGGAAAATAAGTATTTGGTCAATAACAAAAGTTTCTCAATACTTTGTTATATACCCTTTGTTGGTAATGACACAGGTCAAACGTTTTCTGTAAGTCTTCACAAGGTTTTCACACACTGTTGCTGGTATTTTGGCCCATTCCTCCATGCAGATCTCCTCTAGAGCAGTGATGTTTTGGGGCTGTCGCTGGGCAACACGGACTTTCAACTCCCTCCAAAGATTTTCTATGGGGTTGAGATCTGGAGACTGGCTAGGCCACTCCAGGACCTTGAAATGCTTCTTACGAAGCCACTCCTTCGTTGCCCGGGCGGTGTGTTTGGGATCATTGTCATGCTGAAAGACCCAGCCACGTTTCATCTTCAATGCCCTTGCTGATGGAAGGAGGTTTTCACTCAAAATCTCACGATACTTGGTCCCATTCATTCTTTCCTTTACACGGATCAGTCGTCCTGGTCCCTTTGCAGAAAAACAGCCCCAAAGCATGATGTTTCCACCCCCATGCTTCACAGTAGGTATGGTGTTCTTTGGATGCAACTCAGCATTCTTTGTCCTCCAAACACGACGAGTTGAGTTTTTACCAAAAAGTTATATTTTGGTTTCATCTGACCATATGACATTCTCCCAATCCTCTTCTGGATCATCCAAATGCACTCTAGCAAACTTCAGATGGGCCTGGACATGTACTGGCTTAAGCAGGGGGACACGTCTGGCACTGCAGGATTTGAGTCCCTGGCGGCGTAGTGTGTTACTGATGGTAGGCTTTGTTACTTTGGTCCCAGCTCTCTGCAGGTCATTCACTAGGTCCCCCCGTGTGGTTCTGGGATTTTTGCTCACCGTTCTTGTGATCATTTTGACCCCACGGGGTGAGATCTTGCGTGGAGCCCCAGATCAAGGGAGATTATCAGCGGTCTTGTATGTCTTCCATTTCCTAATAATTGCTCCCACAGTTGATTTCTTCAAACCAAGCTGCTTACCTATTGTAGATTCAGTCTTCCCAGCCTGGTGCAGGTCTACAATTTTGTTTCTGGTGTCCTTTGACAGCTCTTTGGTCTTGGCCATAGTGGAGTTTGGAGTGTGACTGTTTGAGGTTGTGGACAGGTGTCTTTTATACTGATAACAAGTTCAAACAGGTGCCATTAATATAGGTAACGAGTGGAGGACAGAGGAGCCTCTTAAAGAAGAAGTTACAGGTCTGTGAGAGCCAGAAATCTTGCTTGTTTGTAGGTGACCAAATACTTATTTTCCACCATAATTTGCAAATAAATTCATTAAAAATCCTACAATGTGATTTTCTGGAATTTTTTTCTCAATTTGTCTGTCATAGTTGACGTGTACCTATGATGAAAATTACAGGCCTCTCTCATCTTTTTAAGTGGGAGAACTTGCACAATTGGTGGCTGACTAAATACTTTTTTCCCCCACTGTACATTAATCAAATCAATTCATAATTCATTAATCATCCATCAGTTGCCATTACTCATCAGTCGTCTTTGTATTCCTGATGGAACCATGTCTGTGACAGACAGAATAAAGAGACGAGAGAGAGAGAGAGAGGAGGATGGGGGTCTGCATACAGTTTCTTCTTACCCCGTCCATGTCGAAGGTAAAGAAGACCTGGTCCACATAGCTGCTAGCCTCCTCTGTCATCCCCTGCATCTCCAGCATGGTCTTCAGCTCAAACAACGTGATGAGTCCTGAAGGTGACTCCTTCATGAACTTGTTATACCAGTGGTGCATGTCCTCTGCCAGGATATCATCCAGGTTAGACTCGTAGGCACCCATACTTCTTTATTCCTACAGACACGTCCTGCTTCTGCCTAGGAGAGAGGTGTGGGTGTGTGGGCCTGGGCCTGCAGAGCGCTAGCTAGCAGGTTGGCGGAGGGAGGTGAGGCGTAGTGGAGAACAAACCCTGCAACTGGCTGACTCTTGCCGCATTGACTCTTGTCTTAATCTGCTTGAGTAAAGCCCCCCGGTTACTAAAAAAAGAGATAACCCTATAATGGGATAACTGGACGACTATTCCAAGAACCTGGGGACATCTTGGCACGCCAGCGTAAAAGTGTGGGTCCATGTTTGGCTCGTTGGACAGAGACGTCTCACCCAGAGAACAGTGAGGGGGGAAAAACGTGTCATATCCATGACCAGCGGGACGCAGCTTCAGGCTGAACTCCCCGAACACTATAGCGCTGGATTGTTGGGATTAACATCTTCAAAGGGAATCTCTGAGCCCACAAGGTCAAATGTAGTCATGGATCCCAAGCTAATTGGCCAGCCAGGCCTCATTTAGCTACCGCTGGACACAAGAACCCTCCCCACCCACATGGGTTGTGAAGTAACGGATTACATCCCACTGGGCACACACTGGTTGAATTACAGTTTTTCCCCAATTGTTAACACACGTTTGCTGAAAACCACATCTCAGGTACTCAGAACACAAAACAGTTAGCCAATTTCCCCAAACCCCACTGACATCTTGCAAAATGAAACACAGTAATCAGAATCATGTACTTCCTGTTCATAGTGAAACTCTGCATACAAATGAGACACACACACACACACATCAAATTAATCAAACTTAGTGACAACTGAGATCAAACTAATGTGACATATTCAAAACACTACTATCAGAACCTATTTCAGTGTAAAGACTGATGTTGTTGTTATACTGTATATTGTTTGTGTGTACCGAAACAAGAAAGGAACACAAATGCAAAAATGTAAGTTTTATATTTCAACATGACTCAATACATGTCAAACAGCATACTGTAAGAACACATACAGTACAAATGCAAACATACAGTAAATATATTTTGCATCTGCAAAGGAAGAAAAATAGTCCTATTTGTATTACTGTACTGTGTGTTAGATCAATTGTACAGAATAGTTAAAGAAACGGTCAAAATACAGTCAAATCAAAATCAAAGTCCCGTGTGGCTCAGTTGGTAGAGCATGGCGTTTGCAACGCCAGGGTTGTGGGTTCGTTTCCCACGGGGGACCAGTATGAAAAAAAATAATGTATGCACTCACTGACTGTAAGTGGCTCTGGATAAGAGCGTCTGCTAAATGACTAACATGTAAAAAATAAAAACACTCCATTGCGAAAACAAAATCAGTCATGTCTGTTGTTTTGGTCCGGCCACAGATTTTCATCAACATCACAGGCGATATTCTCCTCGGCCAGACAGCGGGGGAAATATCTCCTGGCTTGACACATCCACCCCTGATAGGACTCTGCTGGAATGTCACCACAGGCCTCCTCCATTGCCTGGAGAACGGTCATACGTTCATGGGGATTGCGATCATACACTGTCCACCGTCATGCTGAAAACACTCTCATGGGTTGAGAATGGGGATATGGGGAGTAGGAGTAACGTGGATGTCTGGACCATTGGACCTGAGAGACCGATGGAACATATCGCTGTCTGGATCACTGGCCCTCTCTGCTCAGGATCACCTGGCCCCTCTCTGCTCAGGATCACCTGGCCCCTCTCTGCTCTGGATCACCTGGCCCTCAGGATCACCTGGCCCTCAGGATCACCTGGCCCCTCTCTGCTCTGGATCACCTGGCCCTCAGGATCACCGGGCCCCTCTCTGCTCTGGATCACCTGGCCCTCAGGATCACCTGGCCTCAGATCACCTGGCCCCTCTCTGCTCTGGATCACCTGGCCCCTCTCTGCTCTGGATCACCTAGCCCCTCTCTGCTCAGGATCACCGGGCCCCTATCTGCTCTGGATCACCTGGCCCCTCTCTGCTCTGGATCACCTGGCCCTCTGGATCACCTGGCCCCTCTCTGCTCTGGATCACCTGGCCCCTCTCTGCTCTGGCTGAAAAAAGATTGTCATATAAGGCGTTCAGGAAATGAAGGAGATGGGCGGTGTTGTATGGTCCAAGGGTGGCATGGCGGTGGAGGGCCCCATTGTGGCTCATAGCTGCTCATATGGTGACATTTCCCCCCGCGCTGGCCAGGTACCTCAACGACGGCTCGTTGACCAATGATGTTCCTTCCTTCCTCCTCATCTTCGCTACATTGAATCCAGCCTCCTCTATGAATATGAGTTGGATCCAATTCCACGAGTCTCTAAAACGACGGTAAATACTGTAATTGCTGTACAGTAAAGTTCACTGGCGACGTCAACGAGCCTCTAATGTTTCAAGAGTGTAATACTATTTATAGATGTATTTATAGATTTATACATGACTTACTTGCACATGTTTGTTCCGTTCATCCTTCACTCTCTGGGAATTCCTTTCAAATGGGACTCTGTTGATTTGCTTCATCCGGAGATGGTGTTTCTTAAGGATGCGGGCTATGGTTGATAAGCTCTGTGATGTTATGGAAGATGGCAGGGTTTTCAATAATCTGTAGTTGGGATTTCCCGCAGTCTCATGGCATTATTTTTAACCACCGTTTGCACAATGGCAGCCTCCTGTTGGTCTGTAAATAGACGCGGTCTACCACCACGTACGTGGTGGTCGTCTTTCAGTTCTACAATAACAAAATAGCACACAGTGCAGTAAACACTACAGTAATACAGCATACAACCTAAACACGTTACAAAGTAGTATCGCTCCCAATTTCCTCCATCCAGTAATACATGAAACCTTGACTTTGTTTCCCCTTACAGTATGTATTGGAATCTACAGTCTTTACTGTGCTTTATGTAGTGCTACTGTCAAGTAGCAAAAGTATTAGACAGGTCCAACGTCGGCGGTACATACCGATTGTTATTTTGGAACGTCCGGATGATGGATGCTACGGTGAATCGGCTCAGATTGGGCTGCGCTCTCTGCCCAGCCTCTCTCAAGGTCAAACCATGGTTGAGCACATGGTGCACCACAGTCGCCCGTATTTCATCAGAGATGACTCTCCTGGTTCTTGTTCCACCCCTGATATCCTTGTTCGCTTCCATTGTTCTCCGAACACAGGAGTACTCACCTGCAGCTTTTTTATCCATACCAAAAGGTCTGATTGCAAAGAGAACATTTACGCAATTAGTGTTTGCACAATGTGAAGAGTGAAGGTTATCAATTGGTAATTGAGCTTAGCTTGTTGAACGGTGTTGCTTTTTAGATATTTTAGTTGTGGAGGTTGTGCCAAAGGTAGAGAATTGTGTGTTGTGTTTTTGCCAAATGTTTGTTATAGAATTGCAATCTGAGTGTAAAGCAAAACATGTGCCAGTAGTATTGCAGATTTGGTGTATGGTTCTGCTGAATGAGTTACAGGTTTGGGTCAGATTTGGTGTATGGTTCTGCTGAATGAGTTACAGGTTTGGGTCAGATTTGGTGTATGGTTCTGCTGAATGAGTTACAGGTTTGGGTCATTGGGCCTCATGGACCAGTTTTAGTGTGTAAACAATTGGGAAAAACTGTAAATGAAATGATGTGTAACCAACGTGGAATTGACGGCTGTGCCCAGTGGGATGTAATCCTTTACATGTAACGGATTACAAGAAAACTGTAACTGTAATTCGTTACATTACCAGCAAAAATATTGTAATCAGATTATAGATACTTTAGAAAAACTAGATGATTACTTCTTGTAATTATAACTTTTAAATTCAAAGGATGTTTGGTAAAACATTATTTGACATCTTTCTGTTTTCTTAACGACATTCAAATCAGCATTGAAAAAAGGTGCAAGTTTAAGTTTGTTCCGTCTAAACGAGTCAGAGACCACTATGATGACACGCCAAATGATGTCCACCAATCAGAGACCACTATGATGACACGCCAAATGATGTCCACCAATCAGAGACCACTATGATGACACGCCAAATGATGACCACCAATCAGAGACCACTATGATGACACGCCAAATGATGACCACCAATCAGAGACCACTATGATGACATGCCAAATGATGACCACCAATCAGAGACCACTATGATGACACGCCAAATGATGACCACCAATCAGAGACCACTATGATGACACGCCAAATGATGACCACCAATCAGAGACCACTATGATGACACGCCAAATGCGTTTTGATGGGTCGCAGGAAAAGAGCAGGAATGGGCTTTCGCAGGCTACAGTCCAAGCTGTATGTCTTCCAACGGTGCGACTGCTGTCGGCATCCAAAGATGATCCAACTTCAATAAACGCTTGGAGTTAAGGACGATAGCAGCAGCATAGCCTACCAGTGCTATGTATAGCACTTATTACAGGTATCTAGCCTACCTTAGTCAAGAAACAAAAAAATCTAATACAATCCTACAGGATTTTGTGTCACCTCTATTAGAATCCTATTGGACTACTTTTTAACCTATTGGAAATCAAAAGTAATCCCAATGGATCTTTTAGGATTCTCGCAGTTAGTACTGGTCTCTGTGCGAAAGGGATCCCCCTCAGGTCAGGTGTGTTTTAGTACTGGTCTCAGGTCAGGTGTGTTTTAGTACTGGTCTCAGGTCAGGTGTGTTTTAGTACTGGTCTCAGGTCAGGTGTGTTTTAGTACTGGTCTCAGGTCAGGTGTGTTTTAGTACTGGTCTCAGGTCAGGTGTGTTTTAGTACTGGTCTCAGGTCAGGTGTGTTTTAGTACTGGTCTCAGGTCAGGTGTGTTTTAGTTACTGGTCTCAGGTCAGGTGTGTTTTAGTACTGGTCTCAGGTCAGGTGTGTTTTAGTACTGGTCTCAGGTCAGGTGTGTTTTAGTACTGGTCTCAGGTCAGGTGTGTTTTAGTACTGGTCTCAGGTCAGGTGTGTTTTAGTACTGGTCTCAGGTCAGGTGGTTATAGTACTGGTCTCAGGTCAGGTGTGTTTAGTACTGGTCTCAGGTCAGGTGGTTAGTACGGTCTCAGGTCAGGTGTGTTTTAGTACTGGTCTCAGGTCAGGTGTGTTTTAGTACTGGTCTCAGGTCAGGTGTGTTTTAGTACTGGTCTCAGGTCAGGTGTGTTTTAGTACTGGTCTCAGGTCAGGTGTGTTTTAGTA